AAGGGGAAGTGAGAGCGGGGAGGTAAGATGTTGGGAGGGCAACAGGTGATGAGAGAAGAATCAGCGATTAGAAAAAGGTTGTTGACATGAGGTCAATATCTGATATGAAGAATGGAGAAAAGATGCAAAACAAAGGGTAGGGTGTTACGGGATCGGGCGAACTAATGGAAAAGAAGCAGCAGGAAAGAGTGAGAGAAAGGAATTGACAGGAAGAAAGAAGAATCCGAAAGAAGCTCGCTAATATTCTGGACGTGCTCTTGTTTCAGTCGCTGCGAGGCGTCGTCGGCGAGCATGGCCGCCCACCAGGAAGCAGCTCATTCGGGCCGGGACCCTGCGTCCGTCACCGTCCGGAATCTCCTCCCGTCGCATCTGGAGATGCCGTGTCTGCATCCCGAGGATCCATTTCCTAGGAATCCATCCAGAGAGGTTCTATCTCTGGCTGAGGTTGGTCCGTCGCAGCATGCTGAGCCTTCTCCCGGAGAAGGATCCCAGCGAGAGATTGTCCCTCTACGGGGTACCTCCCAGCCCGAGGACGGTTCCCGGAAGAAGGATAGTTCCTGGAATGATGGTTCCCAGAAGAAGGATCGTTCCTGGAATGACGGTTCCCGGAAGAAGGGTAGTTCCAGGAAAGACGGTTCCCCGAAAAATCGTTCCCGGAACGACGATTCCCTAAAGAAGAACCATTCCCGGAACGACGATTCCCTAAAGAAGAACCATTCCCGGAACGACGATTCCCTAAAGAAGAACCATTCCCGGAACGCGAATTCTCTAAAGAAGAACTATTCCCGGAACGACGGTTCCCTAAAGAAGAACCATTCCCGGACCGACGGCTCTCCGAAGAAGTATAGTTCCGGGAAGAAACTCGGCGACTCCCTGGATAAGGGGGTTGACCCCGGGAGAGAAGAGGATGCTTCCATGAAGAGGTACCGCTTGCTCGAGAAGAAGATGGACCGCCTCGCCACCCAGCATGTGGCGCCGATGTACTACTGCGCGCGCTGCGACCGCTGCATCCCGCACGAGTCAGCCGCGCGCCTCCACGTGATGCGTCACCATGACTACCGGCCCGCCGGGTGCGCGAGCTGCGACTACCGTGGCGCCACCTCGGCGCGCGTCGTCGCGCACACCGCCACGCATCACCCTGGCACGTCGTCGCCCGTCGTCGTTGTCGACGCGTCTTCGCGCGCGGCCGTCGCCGCCGTCGCCGCCGACCTGAGCGAGGCGGGCGCT